CCCCCCCCCCCCCCCCGCCCCCCCGGGTTAGAGACCCCCCAAAATTTGGAAGATCCTTGGAAGCCGAAGGTACACACATCATGCCCGAGACCGGGGACTTCATGCGCCTTCGGCGGATGTGGTTAGAGTCATGGGCCCCATAGTGGTTCCTTTTTGGGATTCCCTAGTAGGATCCTGAATATAAGCCACGAAAAGGAACTACTATGGGGCCTATGGGTAGAGTCATGGGGTCGGAGTCCGAAGAGTTCATCCCGGATGTCGTTTTTGTCAGCACCTCCGGACTATGACATGTCTTCGATGGTGTAGGGGTTAGGTTCTGGTGAATCCTGCTGCCTGAAACTAGTGATATTCCCATCGAATGTTTTCGCTGCTGTGTGAAGCTAGCTCCTCCTTGATCTTCGAAGCATTGGTTTGAAAATCTTGCGACCATAATTTGCAGGCAATGGTCGCCGCTCTTTCTTCCATTATCAAAGCTTTGCTCGTGATGCCATTACCTTCAGCTCTTTGTTCCCGTCGCAAACACAGTGTCTGAGCAAGTCTTGCCTAACATCAGCTCGCAATCAAATGTCAACAAACCTAGCGAGGTTGAGGCTAGTTAGGTGCACCAGGGTCCCGCATCGAACAGCTTCACTGAGTGTTGACATCAGCATCTTTGCAAGCCCTGCAAACTTGGTCTGCGCGAATCTCAATTCTGTACCTCTGGTGAAACCGTGCTGTTTGACGCCGTGGTGATAGGGTGTAGCCCTAGTCGCCGTTGGATCGACAGATATCAATGATCTATGTACTTTAACCTACCAAAACCTACTTTCTTGTAGGGTCCCTATGAATCCCATCTTAGGGTTTATAATAAGAACCAACACTATAATGAGAACCTACAAAAAAGTGGGTTCTGGCAGGTTAAGGTAGTTGTAACGTTAAGAAGCCTGCGTTGAGCTGGACACTTCCTCAACTCTTCCATTCCTCGGCCCCGCTTAGACCTACACTGAGGCCTTGACGCTACACCCGCCTCCATACCGCCGTAACCTAACTTGGATTACACATGCATCTGAACGATCGAACATGGTATCCCTTGCATTCCTCGTGTAGGCTGTCTGTAGAATATATCCCAGGACCCTTTTCAAAAGTGTCGTAGGATATACCCGAAAACCCTGTTCTGATCCCTAAACACCGAAACTTCTTACACCCTGCTATTATTACCCTGCTTCTCTGAGCCCTTATAGAACTACTCTTATTCTTCCTGGCGTTTTTTCAGCTTGGTAGTCTGTGAGGCCAGGGCTCTTCCTGGAGGCAATGCGACCAGATGTCCGTTCCTAGAGACTCCAAAACCCCTTCGGTAAGGAACCCTAAGGGGCCATGTGCCCAAACAGTATATACTTTGGCCTTCATGTAGTCCCTATATAGATACTTTGGGGCCAATGTATATACTATTTGGGTACATGGACCCTTCGGGGACTCTACTTGATTTAGAGGGCTTGATCTTCTGATATGTGGTATCTATACGCTGAAGTAAGCCCCAAACCCAAAGCCCTAAGCCGGACAGTTGTCGTCGGTGGTGATCCGAAGAAACCCCGCTGTGATTTTTGATCTCTGCAATAGGAGAGGGGGACAAACCGTACCTTGTTCAGAGATCCTGAGGTCAAGGCTCATTCAACCGAGGGTTTGTATTGGGATCTCTCACGTTTTGATTGAAAACCCATGTTGCTCAAGGGCAGAGGGACCTAAATGCCACAGCATGCAACAGGCTTCATAGCCGAACAACCCCGGTCCACACGGCTGTTTCATACAAAAATGCACACATACATACACATAACACGATTATTCCTATCTATCTGTCTATCTATCTATCTATCGATCCATCGATCTATCTACCTACCTATCTACCTATCTACCATCTGCTTATCAATCAATCAATCAATCTATTTATCTATCTATCTATCTACCTATATATCTACCTCCATATGTATATATGTATAAGAAGTATATACTCGTACTTCAATTACAGTATACGGGGCTTCATATTACGATACCGGGTGCAAGGTATGTTGTGAGTTAACGGTCTCTGGGTTATGAAGGATCCACGTTTATGTAATGTACGGTCTTCTCGTGATTTTTTAGGGTTTGGGAGTCTGGGTCCGTTAAAGAGATCTCGGCTTTGGGATTACATTTTGGGCCTCATGGGCTTGTGCGAGTCTGGGTTTAGGTTCCGGAGCGCTAACGGCTTGTCATGTTTGCTTTCGGGATGTTTTGCAGAAGATGCTGTGGGCGAAGGTTTCTTTTGCGCGGATGGGTTCTCGTGTGTTGATGTGCTTGACGATCCTTCCGCAGAAAAATTGATGCGAAATGGCTCGCACTCCTTGTGACTAGTGGTCTTTCTAGATTTCACTTTGCCCTCCGGATGTAATATAGGGGCCTAAATAATTACCAGTATAATTATAGTATAGTCGGCCCCAAGACCCTATTCTAATTATTCAGGCCCAATATGAGTCATGAGGAGTATAACTGCACGGACGGCCTAGAGCAACTCAGGATGCGAAGGGCCTGACATCAATAGATCCCCTCATAATTTCAGTAGGGCTTTGGCGTATACTCGTACATTTCAATCATTTTCGAAAAGAAAACCTAAAGATCTAAAGAACAGAATCACCTAAATATTCGACATAGCTATATAGCCAAGATGCGATCGGACGATCATTGAACTTCGGCTGCTGTCTCGCGGTTCCGGCCGTAGAGGGCCTGAGCATCAGTTGAATCTACCGGTCATTCAGTCCGGTACCTGTCCTTAACTAAGAAAGTAAGTAAACCTAGTATATTGTGGTATCTATATGATTACCTCAGAGTCCTTAAGCAAGTAAATCTATTATTTCTTCAATATTTATATTCTTACCTCATGGTCCTTAAGAAAGTAAATCGGCTCTATCATAGTGATAGCCCTTAAAAATCATCTTTGTTTGTTATAATGGTGGTTGCCGACAGTTAATGTTCCGCAACATGGTTATATACTAAATCTTTATTCTAATGATGAAGGCCTCCCCCCTTTGTTGTAGTATAACTCTGAGGCCCCCGCCTTAAAGGCTCGAATGTCGAAGAGCGAGGCCTCTGCGAGCGTGCGGGTCCTGACTCTTGCCACTGGAGGCGGGCATCACACAATCAGAATCACAACCAAGAGAAAAAAGTCAACCGTAGCCACAATAAAAACAATAATAATATGAAGTCTAATCGCAATTTTTAATACTAATAATAATTCTAATCATAATAATACCAATAATCATAATACGGGGTGTAGAAACATCACATGTGCCGACTGATGGATCCGCCGTGCCTGGGCCTGCGATGCTGGAGCCACCAAGCCCCTGACTCCTGGGTTTAGGGTTTTGGGGTTTTGGGGTTCTGGGTTTTAGGTTCATGGGTGTTAGGGTTTAGGGTTCGGTGCACTTAAACAACAGGGCTTGGGGTTTGTTCTGCTATAAGTATAAGAAGGAACCCCAATAACCTATAGCTTTATAAACTTGCAAGGTTTAGGGTTTATAGGGATTAAGGCTTGAGGGGTTCCCGATGAAACGCACAGGCTCCGTGACGACGTTCCAGTGCCCGAACACTGTGAGAATTGGCTTCGTCGGCTTCGGATGTGAGCCGGGTACGATCCTGATGCCACCTGCCTCCATGGTTTGAGGGATTTAGGGTTTAGAGGTTTTAGGGTTTAGGGTAGTTCCTGCTGCAAAAGGGTTTCAGGGATTATGATTAGGGTTTAGGGTTTAGGGTTTAGGGCTTGGTGCTGGGAGCTCCAATGTTCAGGGCTTGGGATTTTATGAAGTTGGCTATACGGTGCAGGAGTTTAGGGTGTTTGTTTGGGTTTCAGGTTTTTAGTATGTAGCGTTCAGCGTAGATCGTTCCAGGTGTGAGTCGTCTGATCATTTCAACACCGTCCTGTCTCTTGTTGTTTCTCCCTCCCTCTTCCCTTTCATCCTAACAGTAGGTCAAGGAAACCCGGATCCTTTTGTTGACTATGGTTCCGCTGCGCGAAGTTTTGATTGTAAGAGGAGAGGCAGCCAGAGAAGCAAGCACAACAGTGACTACTTCGACCGCTTGCAGCAAAAGCATCAGCTTGGTGTATGTTCGGGAAAGCAGCCACGGATCAAAGCTTTCCGTCAATGACCAAGCACCTAGACATCGGGAGTTGTTGCATCCTGAATAACCATAGAGGACATTACAGAAGCAGCAGCTGAAAGCCCATGAACCAGCCCAGTTCGAGGGCGAACACGTTCGCAGAGAGGCAGATTCTTTCTGCCCTCCACTCGGCACCATACCACAGTCGGCCCTACTGGAAAAGGTTCTCCACGAGCCTTTCGAAGCAAGGAACCATAAGACTCAGGTCACTTCGCCCTTGTAAGGACCTTCACTTTCACAGGCCGCCATCTAACCTGCAAGCCTACTTCTGATGGGACTGCAGGTTCGCCCTGGCACACCTCTTTGTGGTGTGCGCCACCATCTTACTTGTCGGGAGCTTACACCGTCGCTTCCTTCCGAAGTTCCGAAGTTGGACTTGCGAGAGCATCAAAACGTATGTGTGGATGTCTCCGTCGCGTCACTCGTACAACGGTAGCGCTCTTAGCACGACCATGCGTCCAGGGTCTTTCCTCTCACTATCCTCCTCCAAAAGATCTACGGGCAGAGTAACCCAGCACTCGAAGAGGAAACTTGAATTCATTGCCGGGACTTGAAGACTCCATGCTAAAACATGGCGTGCCTCTGATTCTCAGGCCATCTTGTTTGAATTGCTGCTGCGACGGCGCGTGGATGTGACTTGGCCAACCACCGCAGACACACCTCTTGCAGCTTGCCTCCTCATCCTGATGAAGGATGTCGACTGTCGTCCTCCTTGGAGGCACCCTCCTACAGGAGCATTGGCCAGTTTGCGCGAGAGTGCTGGGGTGTGGTAGCTGAAAGTGTTTATTAATCTTCGCCACAAGGGGCGTGTCGTTGATGCGAACAACATGTCAGAGATGTCTGCACGCCACGCTACGACCTGACCCTGAATAGACCCTAGGCAACAAACAACCCAGATGCAACGGCTACCGTGCCTCAGAAATGGCCCAGGTTTATGTTGAGCTCGCCCTGAACGTGTCGACCCGCGATCGTTCCGCGGAGATTACGACATTGCCAGCAATTTCCGAATCTTGGAATATAGCAATAATGCACTCCACTCTGCCAGACTATGCCCAGGCTATGCCATAGCCCGCCTTTACTGTACCAAGGCTTAAGTCGCACCATGCGTAGCGCATCGTGCATCCTCTGGCCAGGTTGGCATGACGTATGGGATGTATGGCTTGTGTGTGGAAGGCGTTCCAGATGTGCTGCTGCACTCTCAGCCGCTTCGTGCGTGTCTTCGGCCCGGCTCGAGATGGCAAAGAGACCCTAAACCCTAAACCCTAAACCCTAAACCCTAAACCGCTAAACCGCTACAGTAAGGCTCCTAGAACCTCGAACCTGAACCTGCACCTTGTACCCAGTCGTGAGGGTCATCTCACGGACCCTCTAGGGGCCGTTTTTCAGAGGCCAGCAGGAGCCCCCATTGGGGAGTCAGATTCTGGCAGTTTAGGGGAACTTCTTTCGTGGCCTCCGGCCTTGCGCCCGTTCTAGCCAGAATCCTAGCACTTCCGACATCTCGAGGACCTCTAATGTAGGGGCCAAAATAATTACCCATACCATTTTTGGGGCTCCTTATCATAGTTATCGAAGAATGGGCCCCAAAACCCTATTCAAATTCTTAAGGCCCCGAATATAGAAGCCCATATATATTAAAGATCCCTCTATAAGGATCCCTTTAAAGGAACCCTATTCTAATTCTCAAGGCCCCTAGATTACTAAAGTCTGTCCTCCGGGCCCCAGAACCATGGCAGGGTCCAGGGCAAAGCGGCCAAGACTTGAAGAAGTTATGGCAAGTGCCTGTGATGTCGCCACGCCCCAAAAAGTCCCCGAAAAGGGCGAGAAGGAGGCCGTGGTGCAGAACTACGTGGACCTTCGGAAGGCCCAGAAGACACGGGTGGTGAAGTTCCCCTCGCTTCTCTCTGAAGCCGACCTTCAGCAGGTTTTGCGCTGCCATCGTGCAGTCCTCGACTCTGGCGACCCTGCAGTGACCAACCCACAGAACCGCCAGCACAAGAGGAAGCGGTGCTTGTTCCTACATGGCCAGGCGGTGCCGGAGGAGGGCCAGCTGCTGAGCAGAGCACCAGGAGTTCTTCGGAAGATGCTTCGAGCGGCCGTCTCTGCGCAACAGGAGGGTCAATGGGGCAGTGCAGAAGACCGGGGAGGGAGCGAGGCCGATGTGGACTCTGCGCTGTCAGGCATCGATGTCCGGCGCTGCTCGATTCGCGTGGTGGAGCTCTGGGAGTACGAATCTGGCGGTGGCCTAGTCGAAGAGTACCATTTCGATGCCGGGAGCATAGTCACCATCGTCGGCTTGGTTAATGACAAGGAGGAGTTCACAGGCGGCCAGTTTCAGACCAAGGAGCCGGATGGACACCTCGAGACGCATGAGTTGTCCAAGGGTGACGTTATCTGCTTTGTGTCGCACAAGTATCACAGCATCACGCCAGTCACTTCAGGAAAGCGCCAGGCATTAGTAGTGGAACTTTGGGAGGGGGGTCTTCCAATGTGGTGTCGCTGACTTTGAGCTGCTTGTTTGTCTGCCGCGACACTTGATGATCGGCAGAACTTCGATGACCGAAGCTTTGTGGACGGCCCAGAACATCGAACAAAGGTCCCGCCTGTTGTGCAGAATGTTTGTTCCACTGTCTTATATACACACATGTGCATAATTGTGCATATAGCACAAGCAGGTGGAATTGTATATATGTATGTATGTATGTATGTATGTATGTATGTATGTATGCATTCGTTGGTACATATGCATGGCTGCTTCTATGTTAGAATGTGTTCACACACACACATGTATATTTAGACATATATATATATATATATATATCTATATACACATACATATAGTTGTAAAGGTATTTGCATGTTTAAGAATTTGTGCTTTATTATTTGCAAAGCTCGAGCGGTACGCTCTGCATGGGCGAAAAGTCGCCTTGCATCTACGCAGCCCCTGCAATGATCGAGAGCGCTTGGTTTGTCGGGCCTCCAGCCGGGCTAGCCCAGACTTCAGCAACGCGAAAGCATGGGGGCCTTAGTAATTAGAATAGGGTTTGGGGGGTTCTTTTTTATAAATATAGTATATGATGCCCCAAGACCCTATCCTAATTAGCAAGGCCCCTAGAGTACTTGCCTATCTCCCTTTTCCTCTCTTACCCTCCCTGCCTATCTACATACACAGAAACGCATACATGCATGCACGCGCACGACCGAGCTTGCATACACACACATGTCACATATGTATATATATATATATATATGTATATACACATGCACATACACTCGCACTTGCATACGTGTACATCTGCGGACATACCTACAAGCTGCGAGTGCTTTGTCCCTGCCATGGCCTAATGCCTTGAGCATGCGCTTCGGTGAGCAATCGCCGGGCAGCCGCTCGCCTGGTTTTCCAGCACGGTTCGGGTTGGGGTGTAAAGGGTTTTGTATGGGTTCCACACAGGTTGACAAGGTTCGTTATTCCATACTGGGATTTGAAGGTGCATGGGAGGCCCTGCACTTTTGTCTCTTTTTCACGGGCCAGAAACCCAGAGGCTTAGAGTAAGTTCGGCTTCAGGATCGGGGGGATTGTCGCAGAAGCAGGATTGGAACAACCTAATCCCTAGGACTCTAAGGACTCATTTCTTAAGGCTTTTGGGCCCAAAGACCCTATTATCTAAGGCTTTTGGGCTATTTTGATGCTAAGGGAATTAAATTAAGTCCTTCTGTATCTCTGCATACGGCCCTCCATCTCTTGTCACTTGTTTGCTTCAAGTGAGTATGAAGAGAAGGCCCGCCTCGCCTGGATGTCCGAGTGTGTGCGCCGAAACCCTGAACCAAAGATACCATAACTCTGAGCACGAAGCAGACAGGCGATCCGAGGGCCATTGCCCGAGTTAATTATTTGCACAGCTCTTGGACAAGGATGCCATTCCAAAGCCGGGGCAGGTTTCCGGATCTCAGGTTTCTCAGACTTCCGATGCCCGGAACATAAACTTCCAGAGCAGTTTTCAAGCCGCAGTGTAGCGATCATAGTTTGTGCTTTCCCAGCTAAGTGTGACGCTGCTGACGATCATCCCTCCGATGTCCGACCTGTCCTGCACATCTTGCACAGGCAGAGCATACCAGCACGAAGCACGTAAAGCCAGGTCAGCAACAGTCATGTTCGGCCCGGTGGCATGAACACTCACATGGCCATTACATAAATTTGAAAGCCCTGCGTCCGCACGCAAGCATGAGACTAATAGCAGGATTCGCAAGCTGCTGTCTGCTTGCCAAGAGTGATTTCATGACACACTCGGCGGGGCAAAGCGGTGAACACACTAGTTTGGTTGTTGTACACTGAGAGCAGTTACTCGTGTTACGAGCACGCGACACTACATCTATCATTGTGAGCACCGCTTTGGGCACTGCCGTCCAAAGCACGAGTCTTGCTTAATCGTATTCACGCTTGAGGCGATGAGGACGAAAGTGAGGACTGACCCGATCAAATACATGGATCCGCGCGCTGGGGTTTGCGAGAGCTTTGCACTACATTATTATATAAAAAAACTCTTGAAGCGCACGCCGCCGTGCCGGAATTCTGCCTCGTGGCAGCCGTGAGCTGGCCAATCCAAATGTGCCGAACCTGGAATCTTGCTGACCGATCCTTGCTGTTGCTGAGCCCCAAACCCCAAGACCTGTATTTTAGATATGAACTCAGCTTGGACACCAGGATTCGGAGCAACGCGTGATTGCCTGACGGGGCGTGTGCGAGTTTCAGAGTGACGGCTTCGGAAGGGTTGCTGCATACTTGCATTTCAACGAGGGTGTTGTGCAGATGTTGCTTGATACCTTAACCTACCAAAACCCACTTTGTTGTAGGCTCTTATTATAAGCCCTAATATGGGATTAAAGGGAACCTAAAAAAAAGGTAGGTTCTGGTGGGTTAAGGTAGACTCGTTGCTCCCAGCTGCCAACACCCCAGCATTCACTCACCCCTGACGTCATCTTGAAGCACAGACACGGACTTCATGCAGGATGAGCTGCTGCTGCCACGAGCACTGAAAGGGCGTGTTGGGCCGACGAAGCGCGCCGCATTTTGCATGGCTTGCATCGGAGATCCTCGGCGTAAAGTGCTCAGAGAAGGGTTTCGCATGGACACTGCGAGAGCACAGCAGGGATGAGAAAGCTTTCCTCTGTGCTTGGAGCTTCGGCAGCTTCTCCATCGAAGTCTATACCTATAGTCTCCATTGTAGTTCCTTTTTTTGGTTTAGCCAAATATATATTAAGGATTTTACAAGGTATCCCCAAAAAGGAACTACAATGGAGACTACAGGTAGTGCTTCCTTCCCTAATTCAGTCCGCCGACACGAATCTGAGGTCAGTGCTTGCGTGGGCCTTGGAGCAGTTGTCCTGCAAAGCCGTGGAAGGAGTCTGAGCAGTTCATTACTGACAGAAACAGTAAGGGTTCGTTCAGGTTAAGTGTACGTGAAACTAGTAACACAGAGCGCAGAAAACCGCCACGATCCGGTGGTTACCAGCTACTTCGACTTGCGAAGACCTGCGAGGGAGCCTGGGGGTTTTCGGCTTTGGGCTTGCGCTTCGACCGGCAGTGAAAGCAGGTCTCCCAGACCCGAACCCTCAAACCATATGCTGCCGGGTGGGAAAATAGTGTTTTAAATACAGCCCTAGGCCCACCGAAGAGGTAGTTGCAGAACCAAGTTTGCCAACACTTGCACAAGATGCAGGCACCCAAACCCTCAAACCCTAAATCCTGCCTAAATCCTTCGCCTTCAACCTCGCCTGCGTTGCCCGAGTTGTGAGCGCCGAAACCCTTCATCTCCAAGCCTTAACCACGCTATTGTGGGGCCGTTTCAAGCAAGGACAGAGATGGGCATGGCCGCATGGAGACAGCCAGAGCGGATGGTGGAGGTCCTTGAAGGGAATAATGCAGGATCAAGACGGCAAGTGAGGGATGTCAGCATATGTGACTTGAATGGTTTACAGTTTAAAGACATCCAGCAGAGAGAGAGAGAGAGAGACGACTCAGCATGCATGCCAGTATGCATGTGCGTGTATGTATGCACCCGTGCATGCATGCATGGATGCGTGTACGATCGTGTACGTATGTATGTATGTTTGTATGTATGTATGTATGTATGTATGTATGTACGCATGTATGTACGCATGTATGCAATGCATGTATGTATGTATGTATGTATGTATGTATGTAGGTATCTACGTACGTAAGTATGTTTATACGTATGTCTTGTGTATTTAGGTATGCATGTACGTATGTATGTACGTATGCATGTACCTTTGTATGTAAGCAGGTATGCATTCGTTATAGATAGATAGATAGATATATATATATATATATAATATAGATGTATATATATATATAGATATAGATATAGGCGCATGTGTATATTGGATGGCACAGCAGCTTCGAACTGCAACGAAGCAAAACAACTGAGCTGACAGAACCGTAGAGGGTCAGTGGAACAGCTGAAGCCACATCAGAAGACCGAAGCGAAGTACATGCTATTAACCCTAAACCCTAAACCCTACTCACCATTTGCCTCGCCTGGCTTGTCCGAGTGTGAGAGCCGAAACCGTTAACTTCATGATCTAGTGACGGTAATTAGTCAAGCTGGAGGATGAACCAAGCCAGCAGTTCCCTCAAACTGATACGCGATACGGTGTTGCATTTAGGTACAATAGCTTGCTAACATTGTTTCACACCGTGATAATACAATAAACAACTCGCGTAAACTACACCGCGGAAAAACACACAGTATTGTTCAACCATGAACATGAAACACTCCAGGCAGAATTCTCACGTCGCTAGCGTGAGGAATAAATTCGGATTTGGGTTTAGGGTGCTCATGCCAGGAGGCATAGGCTAGGAAGAGCACATTCATGAGAAAGCCATTGGCACTGCCAGGTGTTTTTCCGGTTTAACGTGTGCTCAGCATGTGCGGTGGCATGTTGTTGTGCGCGATTCTGGAAAAATTTTTTATAAGAGAGTACCTTGTTTTACTGATATAAAACTATATCATATTATATGATGTAAAACTATATTATATAATACTATATCACATTATCTCACAGTATATTCTACTATACTGCTCTATATTGTATTATACTATACTGGATTATACTACATTATATGTTACATCATGCTATTTTATGTTATTGTATTATCTCACATTGCATTACATTCCATGATATTAGTATATAAAAGTTGTATTGCGGTATACTATATGATAAGACTGTATGTTGATATAGTTTTTAAGTTGTTAGAAGACTTAGTTGATATCGTATTAGTTTATGTGAAGTTATGTCATATGGTATGTTTTATGATACTGTACTGTACTGTCTTATGGCATATTATATTGTACTATCTCGTGCTATACTAAATCGTACAAAGTCTTGTAGCGTATCATATCAGTTGTGTTGCAAGATGTTATGCTGTAAATAGGTATGTCTTCCATGGTGGTGATCTAGGTATATACTACTAGATCAGTACATGGAGCCGTTGTTTTTATGGGTATGGTTTTCCTCGAATCGAAAGCAAAAGCTTAGCTGTTGCTGTCTACTCCTGCTCCAAGATCCGACAACCCTGAACTCTGAGCTCCTAAACCCTAACCCCAAGGGTCCAAAGGACCCAATAATCAGGTACTTGGGTTTCGGATAGTAGTTTATGTAGGTTACTATTTGGGAGAGTATATGAGTATTAGATACTTGGACCCTTAGGGTAAACCCTAAGCATAGGCCCTAAAGTAGTTCTTTCTTGGGGTTCATATGTCGAAGCCTTTAGGGTAATCCCAAAAAGGAACTACTATGGGGCCTGTGGGTAAGCCCTGACACCATGGCAGGAACTTTACACTTTCGGCTCTCCTGGTGCGTCGCAACTTGCCGGCACGGCAGAGCCCTGAGAAGTAGGGTTTAGGGTTTAGGGTTTAGGGTTCAGGGTTTAGGGTTTAGGGTTTAGGACCCCGGGCTTGTTTTGAGGGCTTGGGCTTCTGCATGTCTAAGGACCAGGAAGCCCCGAAACGTAGTTCGATACGGTGAAGGTTGACGTGGCACTTCATGCGCGGTTTTGCCCGTTCATGTATCCCGGAGTTGCGTTGCAGATGATGAATTTGAAGAAAGAGCTACGGAAAGAACTGTCACAGACGGTACAAGAGTTGCATGCCATGCTATTGGGAACGGCGAGGGTGCCACGTTCTTTCATGGAGGGAAGAAGTGTCCTTGTGGAGAAGGGTGGTTTCAACTCGGGAATCTCCGACCTCCAGTACCATTCCCTGAGTAAGAACCATAGTTACCGAATACAATGCGCCCTGCAAGTTTCCATGCAGACCTCTGCATTAGGCCCTGCTGCTTGCAGACGCCCAGGAAGAGCATCTTACTGGACATGTCCAGGGAGGGAGGATGCATCGCTGGCTTGCGTGTGTACACGAGGACTTTGCCGAGACTAAGGGCTGGGTTGGTTTCTTGGGCTTTTGGGAAAGAGAGGTCTTTTCAGCTCAGTTCGCCTCAGACCTATCAGCTTAGTTCGCCTCAGTATAGGTCGAAAGGTTCTCCGAACAAAAAAGATCCCCCAAACTCTCAGCATTAAGCCGCTTGTGCCTTCACAGGTTGCTTTGTTTGCCCAGCGGCCATGCGCCTTCAGTTGGGATTTTGGTGATTTTTTGCTTGACTTCTTTGGGTAGCGGTGTCCTGCCAGGAGCGAGCGGCCCGGGTGGAAGGTGAACACGCCCGTATACGACCCGGTTACTTGGATCACTGAGCAGTTCGGCTTCCGCCACGCACAGAGCCACGGCAAAACCCAACGAAAGCCTTCGGGGTTAGCGAGTTGAAGAGCCGCACGGCGGCCTAAGTGTTTCCATCCGGAGATGCAGGCGTTGTCAACTTCAGACCTTCAGACTGGAGATGATGCAGTCCAAAGCTGCGGTTTAAAGCTGGTATGTATACTAAACCCTAAACCCTAAACCCCACGCCCCATTTTGCTCCTTAGGATGGCCTTCTTGGAGCTTTCCGAGCAGAACCTCCTCGAGAGTGACATGGGCCCTTGTCGTGCAGCTCGGCAATGCTTGGTCAAGGGGTGCAGGATCATTCGATTTAGGGCTTGCTCCCACGCCTCGGAGCATGTTTTTTGCCGTCTTCTGATTGCGTGCTGACATTGTCGGGCCTCGGCTGAAGAACGGCAGATGAAGCAATGCTGGCAGTCATCAAGTCGCTTTCAAAAGGGTCATGGGATTCAGGGCTGAGTGCATTGCAGTCCTTGCTCAAAAAAACGGGTCATGGGTCAGTATTTCTGGATTTTTGCATTATTTCTGGATTTTTGGTTCCGGTTGAAGTCGGTTAAAGTCTGTTCACCATAGCACTAAGAATTCACCCAGCATCGGAATCCTTGGTCTACAGGCTCAGGATCGTCTAGCGGCATGATGACAAAGGAAGACAATAAAGGTAAAATATTTGCATCGATAGGTGGCGACTAATGAGGACAACAAGACAGAAGAATCAGATGACGGCTCGTAGAGACTGTCAATGACTTCAAACGGTTTTCCTGCGGCGTTGAAAGACATTAGGACATTGAAAGACTTTGGAAGACTTGCAGGGCTTTCAGAAACTTGCAATTATGTTCGGAGCATTGAAAGGTTTCAGGATGTTGAAGTAGTTCTAAATAATTTGACAGGCCACAAAAAGTGCCGCAGCACACATTCATGGAGCTCCAACAACAAGTTGGTTAATCCCTTGCCCGAACATGCCGACAATAACAAGCACGAAGGAGTCCTAAGGAGGGCTCTTCCCCCGGAATTGGGGGGGCCGGAGCTGTGACGCACGAATGTCTCTGCGATCTTCCAATGAAAAGCAAAAGCATCGAGCATCTTCATTGTGCATGCTTCGGTCAATAAGATTCAAAAAGGACAAAGGACTTGCTACGGTCAAGCAGTTTGGGGTTTTCGCGAAGTATGGACCCTCTAGGATAGCAGCTGGCTCGGTCAAGGAGCAGCAAAGACCAAAACAAGCCAGGCTAGACTGAGCGGTGTCACCAGCAAATGGACGGGTTAATGCCAGCACAATCTACAATCCACTGTAGACGAACTATACTCAAACTTGCGAGACTGCACACGGTTTCATTGGGTCACGGGTCCCAAGGCTGATGGACAGAACGGCGAATTGTGGTTCGTGTTTGGAGGGCGGGTTGAAGCAGACGACGGGCCAAACATTGAACCACAAAAAAGCTTTGCCCCAACCGAAGAATGGCTAATACAAATGTAATTCCAAAACACAGATAGTACCATCAAAAGGCAAAGACGCAAGTGATGATTTCGTATTTGCACGTGTGCCTTGTTTACATTACTTGATGCCGAGGAAACTTGCGAAACTTCGCTGGGGACCATACATCCTTTCGACATCGGTGTGGGTGTGAAAGCAGGGTCGTTCCATATGAATCGGTGCAACAATTCGTTGTGCGCTGTTCTCGTTTTGTGCTGTGGCATCCTGACTCGACTCGAAGTTTAACTCTGAGTTTTCTTAGCTTGCACAACTTTGGTACATCTTCGAAGAAGCGGCTGTGTTATGTTGCGATGACTCTCCGTGACGTGAAGAGACAAAGGCATCTGCCTCTGACCCCCACCACGATGACTTCTGGTGGATAGCTGGGTGCCTCAGCGTGGCAGTTTGACATCACAAGCTCTCATCCTCCACCCTGAGTTTCTACGAGCACGCAGCCGCCATAGCCTGCTACGTGTGGAGTAGAAGTAGTAGCATAGCAGAGCACGCCCTAGTGCAATACTAGTAGTCAGTAGTAGCAGTAGTAGTAGT